GGAATAGCCTGAGTCCTGCTTTGCATGATTAAATCTGATCCCTCGTGTTCCCTTAGAGGGCGGTCTGGTTAGAAAGTACAATTGTATCTAACAGTTCCACTCTTCAGAAAGGTTGAGACCCTCAGAGAGGAGAATTGCAGACAGCCACATATAAATCGTTTCTTCTTGGTGCTACACAGTAAGTCCCCAGATACACCGAATTAAAAACCAAGTCAACTGCCATCTCTTTGCTGCTCTGAAGGACAGGTGCCTTGGTGATAAGGAGTTGCACTGCCAACCAACCCAAAGACACTTTTAGAATCCACCAGCTGTTCTACTCCACAGGTGGAAAATGAGCAGGCTTCTCCCATGTGACACGTTAGAGATTCAGCTATGAGTCCGTTTAGGACTCTCTGATACCCAACAGACGACAAAACAGGCTTTCAAGGCTGTCATCAAACCTTTGAGGACTTTCTCTGTTGAGTGACTAGTGGTTTGAACTCCACCAGTCTGTTGGTTCACAGCCCTGCATTTAACAACTGCTACCGGGACATATTTCCAGATATCCAGGACTTAATTTGTCTATCCCTCTAATCGTGAAGGAGTTGATGGACACATCTGATCTAGAAGAATGATGGAAGTGAACAGCTTTCAATAGATGAAGGAGGTGAGAATTGGATAGGAGGAGTCAAAGAGGGCCTCCTAGGAAGAGTTTGAATAAAAGTAATCATATGAGAAAGAATAAGACAAATTCTCTGACATTGCCATTGAGTTTCTAACAGACTCATAGTTGGTCTTCCAATGTGTTTTCTAGACTGTAAATCACATAGGAGACTGTACATCTTTCTCCAGTGGAATTGCTCATTCATTCCAGCCACCAGAGAGATGGGGGTTAGGGTCATTAGTATACCATCTTTCAGAATAGGCCTCAAGTGACTTGGGAGAAATTCTAGAAACAGTAAGTCCATGTGGCTAGGCCTGATGGAGAGAGGAAGGCTGGGGCTGATCAAGGAGATCTAGAGTAGTAACTAAACCAGTTGGATTATATCCACTGTGTTAAACAGATGGATGTTTTGGTTTTTCTACAGAAAGACACCCTTCAGTGAGGTTATTACTGTCTCATATTTCTGTCTCTTTCTCTAGGCTGTGAGCTGTTGGAAGGCCAGGAGTTTGTCTTATTTAACTCAACAACCTGAAAACCTAGAAAAATGCTTGACATTTGGCAAAAATTAGTAAATTTACCCAAATGCTCAGAAATTCAGTTGGGACCTTTTTTGGAGGGTAGAAATGGCCAGTTTTCTCATGCCTCAACCACAGGGTAATTCCTATTATCCAACTGTACATTAGATAACAATTATAGAACCAAACCCATGAAGCAAACCATGACTGAGTCCTGATTTCTTGCATATAATTTATATGTTGATCTTTATGGAGAATCCACGAATGTGGAGACTTTAAAATCAAGTCAGAGAAGACCTTAGTGCTGCTCCCTTCTAGAATACAATATGTCAGGAGAATCTCATTCAAAGAACAAGAAATGCTCCCTCATACTGGATTAACTCTGTGACAATGCCCAGTTTCCCCCCCACCCCACCCCTCCTTAGATCTAAAAATCAATCTTATGCATATGCAAATGAATTCTTTTCCCACAGTAGTATCCCTTGGGGAGTTCTTGGTGGTTTAGGGAATTGGGCTATTATCCCAAAGACAATTCAAGTCCACTGGTCACTCCTCAGGTGAAAGATGGGCAGTCTTCTTCAGTACAATTTACAGCCTTCTGAAAACATGCTGTAGATTCGATCTCAAGTAGACAGCAATGTGAGAGAAAGAGGACATCTCACAGCAGAAAGTAAGTGATCTTTAATTAGATACTCTAGTCTGCAGACCTTTTTTTAAAAAAAAATTATTATTAGTTTCAATGAAAATTTACAGAGACTTTGGACTTCCATTCATTCATTGTTGCACTTTTCTCCCCGTGCAGACCTTTTTTTAACAGGAGGTAGAAGGTAGCTGCTGGAAAAGTTTTACTAATACATATTTTTCTTCTTTTAATTAAAATTATTTCTAATTGTATTGTTGACACTACTTTCTTTGGTCTTAATACAGCGTGGACATTTAAGCTATTTTCTTAAGCTTTACATAATAATAAAATGCAAAACAAACTTTCACCACATCCATATCATTTTTTTTTTAATATTAAGAGTCAGGAAGAGGGATTAGTTAAGTACACTCATTACTTAATTATATGAAATGTCCAAACTCGAGTCTCAATATTGCAATAACTTCTAAAAATATGTATTTGGCAAATATATATGTCAACAAATAGACACACCCATGTTCTGAAACAGCTTATTCTTATGACGGTTTTTTTTTTGTTCAGCTACTTGGACAAGCTCTATGAAGACTGACTACTTCAATTCACTGCTCATGTGATAAGCATTCCCAAAGTAGGTGATGTAAACTCAGTCTTTTCTCTGCTTCTCCTCACCCTTCACAATATACTCTCACTAAAAGGCAATGATAAAATTAGTTTCTTCCATGAGAACAAATCGTTTTCATAATTCATTTTATTGATATATGGGTTCATTGTATGAGAGATAACATACCCCCACCAGTGAGAGAAAGAAGTTATCCTTCAGGAAGAAAAAGGGGAATGTTAATTTATCTCCAGCCTTCTACTTAATTTATTTAGTCTTTCCACCCACTCCTACCTCCCTCAGTGTCTCCACTACTCTGTCTGCAAATCACGCCTCACTCATCAAAGATCCCCATCAGTGATTGGAATTTTATTATATTTTAGCGCCACCTTGTGGCAAAATTTACATGGGGTTTTTTTTTTTCCCCCCTGAAAAAAACTAGGATCTTACACTTTAGTCAAAATGAATATATTTTAAAATATTTCACTAGATGTCAAACTCTAAAGAATGTTTAACAATTATATCCCTTAAGATGCTTTCATATACATGTTTATGCACACATCTGTATAAATTTTATGTTGTTATTGTTCTGTACAATCGAGTTGGAACCCACCCTACCTGACCCTCCAGTGGGTTTTCAGAGGCAGTTAATCACAAGTGAGGAGATTGCCCATCCTTCTCCTGCAGAGCACCTGCTGGCCCAGAACTGCTTGCCTTCAGGATTGCAGTGCAGCTTCTTGCCACTAAGGCACCAGAGCTCCCTAATTTTTCATGTGCTGTTGTTGCTATTGTTATGTGCCATCAGTTCCCTGCAACTCATAGCGACCCTATGTATAATAGCCCTAATCCCTGCTCTATCCTGTGCCAATCTCACTGTCTCCGACACACCTAACCCAATTACCCCAGTCACTGAATCAATCCACCTCATAGAGGGTCTTCCCCTCCTGCGCTGTCCCTCCACCCTCCCAAGCATGATGTCCCTCTCCAAGGACCTCCTTGGATCATGTTCAAAGTATGTCAGATGATGCTTAAAAGAAAAAATCCTTCTAAGTTAAATTGTAACCTGTAGAAGACATCAGAAAAATGATAAAAGATATGCTACATCTCCTGATTACAAGAAATGTAAAACAACTTTTAACAAAAGTCACCTCCTTTTAATCACAATTTAAAAATCTACTAAAGGTACTCCCTGGCTTATGAAAAAGGTTATATTCTGATGACTGCATTCTAAATGGATTCTGAAATCACATCTAAGAAGACATTTTTCCCAACAGTTGGAACAGTACATCAATAGGGAACTTCCAGAAAGTCAGGTTGGATTTAGAAGAAGCCTTGGCACCATTGCTAATGTCAGATAGATTTTGGCTGAAAGCAGAGAATTCCGGAAAAATTCCTATTTGTGTTTTATTGATTATGCAAAGGCATTTTTGGCTAACAAATTATGGCTAACATTGAGAAGAATGGAAATTCCAGAACAATTGATTATACTCATGTGAAATCTATACCTAGACAAAGAAGCTGTTGTTCAAACAAATCAAAGAAACACTGCATGGTTTAAAATCAGGAAAGATGTGCATCAGGGCTTTATCTCTTCTCTACACCTCTTCAATCTATATGCAGGACAAATCATTCAAGAAGCTGGACTCTATGAAGAAGAATGTGGCATTAGGATTGGAGGAAGACTCATCAGCAACCTGCGTTTTCTAGATGACACAACCTTGCTTGTGTCTTTGGCAAAGTCCATAGGGAGTTGTGCTTGCTAATCGAAAGTGAGAAAAAAAGACTACATAGCTTTCAAAATGGGTTACATCTTA